CTGTCATCCACAGTGTGCGGGCAAGTTCTCCGACAGGTGAGATGCAGGACCGAGGGACAGCTCAGGAATGGGGCGCTGTCATCCAGGACATTGGGCTCAAGCCTATCCCTGCTCCCATGAGCGCTGGACCTGGAACGGATTCCAGAACCCTGCCGCATTCCTTTTCCTTGTCTGCACTGGAGGAGAGGACCCGCCTGCAGAGTTGCTAGGAGACTTGGATACTGAATGAAGCACGAGGTGGTGGCCCAGCCCGTGGTCAGTGTCCCATGAGCAGCAAGAGTCAGTGAAGTTGACTGCCCAGCTGTCTGCCTCGCCCTGTGTGTGTGTCGTTTCCTGTAAGATGGACATGAGCCTCCTCCACCTCTGTGGGCTGGAGGTGGGGAGGGGGCTGATGGGAGGGTTGGAGCTACTGTGGCCTTTCCTGGCAGGCACTGATGCCCCCTTTCCCCGGGCGGGTGTGTGGGCACAGGTGATAGATGACTACAGTGTGATCGGCCGCTCCCTGTTCAAAAAGGAGACCAACATCCAGCTCTTCGTGGGGCTCAAGGTGCATCTGTCCACCGGGGAGCTGGGGGTCATTGACGGGGCCTTCGGCCAGAGTGGCAAGTTCAAAGTCCACATCCCTGGTGAGTACAGTTGCTTTCTTCTTGTTCTCAGGCACTGGGCAAGGGAGGCAGAGATGGGGGCAGGTCAAGGCCAGGGAAAGGTAACACTCCTAGACTGATGGCGGAAGCTCAGATCTCTTCTCCCGCTTGGCTGGCATACAGGGCTTAGCCTACATGGCACCATGGCCTCTGGTACCACTGATATGTGGCCACAAGGCAGCGTGCATCCTAGGACGAGCCAGGACCAAGCCTCAAGCCAAAGCCAGGGGCTGAGCTTGCATTCCCAGTGCCCCTTGGTCCCAGTGTCACGTCAGATGAGGTGCTCCACTTCTCTGGGGTGTAGGGCGGCAAGATCAGCCACATGGGGTGGCTCAGAAAAGGGTGTGAGTGAAGGAACCCACCGAGTGCCTGCACTGCCCTGGGGCCACCAGGACGGCCTGCAATGCGTGTACCCCTCTCTCCTGCCCAGTGGAGACCCACAGTTCTGAGCCCCCTGTTGTCTGTCATGGGCACGTGATGCCGGAATGACGTGGTGGCCCTCTGACTGGAGGCAGAGCCTGGTGCTGCCCATGAGCACATCTCAGCCCACGCTTGGTGCTCTGCCCGCTGCAGGTCATGCTCCCCGAGAGGGCAGTGTGTTCTGGGGGCCCTGACAAGTGTGGCACCCAAGGAAGGGCTGATTCAGGGCCTGTGGGCAGACAGCTCCCTGGGGAGTGCACAGTGAGCTAGGCTGGGCGCCTGCTGATGGAGACAGAGCTCCGGATCTGTGTAGTTCACTCATTCATTCATCTGCGGGGAGGGAGTAGTGACTGAGTAGGTATATGACAAGTCAGGTAACAACTTGTGCTGTAGAGGAAACCCGACAGGGACAGGCTAGGAGTATGACTGGCTAAACTAACCAAAGATGGCCTCTTTGAAGATAGGCCTGTGGCTTACGAACCTGACTGAAGGGAAGGAGGGAGCCACGCGCATGTCTAAGGGAGAGCATTCTTCAGAAAGAGGGATGAGCAGACATGGAGGCCTTGAGAGCCTTTGAGGTGTTGGAGCAGTGGGTGTCATTGTGCCCTGAGCACCGGGTGGGGTCTGACCTGGAGTGCCCGGCAGCCCCGTTGAGGATGGGGGCCCGGGCACGTCTCTATGCAGTGCACTGGGACCCACCATCTGTGATGAGAATGTTCACACACAGAATGAGATCGAAAGAAGCTTCCGGGGAACAGCCACACGCCCACCACCTAGGTTCCCACGTCCATTCTCGCAATGGCACGACCTATACTGCATCGCACAGCGTGACAGGATTCTAGCTTCACTCTGTGTAGGATGACCATAGGGGACTAATGGTTTATCACCCCTAGGTAGCACTTCCTGAAGCAAGGGTTGTGTTCAGGCTCCGTCCAGGAGGCGGGAATCCCAGCTACCTGGGCCACGTGCACCTCCACTCTCCTGAAGCCTTCCCTCTCGGACCTCCCTCAAGCCCAGCGGGCTCTCACGCAAAAGGGCAGTGATGACCGAGGCCTTCCTAGACCCTCCCAGGGCGCTGGAGATGGGATGGATGGTGGGGGCTGCAGTCCCCATTTCAAAGGGGCAGAAACCCGGCCTTGCCTCCTATCCTTCCCTTGCCATCACCAGGAACCTTGGTGAAGCCCGGGGCCACAGAGGGGCTCTCTCCAGATGCCCTGCACTCGCTGGGCATGCTTCCCTGTAGGAGGGGCTCCTGGCCCTTCTACTGGGCCAGAGGTGCAGGCCACTGAGGTATACAAGCCACCAGAGGCCTGGGCCCCATCTAGGGCTGAGCTGCCAGAGGACTGGCTCAGTGTCACTGTCACAGGACCCTGCCCCCAGATCCTGCGGCCCCCACCCCCCAAAGGAAAAGGCTGTCTTGGACTTGATAGCATCAGGCTGACCTCCTCAGCTCCCCTTCCTCCAAGCCCAGGCATACCTGGGTTTTCCAAGAGCAGGCCAGAAGCCAGAGGAATCTTGCTGGGGGACCCCTCACTCATGGAGAGGGGTGAGGAGGGGGGAGCGATGGCATGACACTCCTGAAGTCAGCTCAAGTTCACATTCCTTTCTTATGTCAGTGTTGCCTTTTTAATAGGTCTGCTTCCTGTTTGTGGTTTTTAAGCTTTTTATTAACTATAACTGGTTCAGTCCTTTCATCCTACCCCCCATCTTCCCTCCCTCCACCCCACTTTCCCCGCCTCGTCTCTTCCTGTGGATCCCTTCCATGGGGTCACTTCTAACCTTTCTGGAGAGCTTTTCTTGTGAAGGAGCCTTTCATGAAGCAGAGACCCCAGGGCTGGGCAAGGGGAGGAGCCCAGCGCACTGCATGCTGGACACTGGCTGAGCTGGCCCTGGGGTGGCCCTGCTGGGGCTGTGCAGTGAAGGCCAATGAGGTGGGAGGGAAGGAGGCTGCTTGGGGCAGAGTGCCACCCATGGTAGGCCTTGTGCCATGGGAACATGGGGTCCAGAGCTCCCTGGAGTTTTCTCACATCTGTCCCTAACACCCGGTGCTCCGTCAGGCCAGCAGGGCCAAGCCAGTGTGGAAGAGGCCAGGCGGCAAGTAGTAGCCAGTGAGGGGCATTTGGTCCTGGAGGATTACCCATTCCTCCTTGTGGGATGGAGGTCCAGTAATCTTGTTGTTTCCTTGTAACATATTTCATTTCTACTTTCAGAAGTGTACACAGCAACGCAGGTTCCTAGGTGGCAATTTCTACCTGTTGTTCGGTTCGATTACACTGGTCGCATGGTCGGTGTTCTCACTGTGTCTGCTGCGCAGTTCTCGCTGGCCCCTCTCACAGACCCTACCCGGCTCATCGGCACTCTCGAGTGGATGCTAAAGGGTCGGGGATCCGTTGACCATTTAGTCCTCTAGGGATGCGGTGTTTTGAACGGCGGGTGTGCTTTATAAGCTAACCTCCGAGGTAGCTCAAAGGTGGCTTGAGGGGCTGGTTTCGGCTCCAGGCTAAAAGAATGTCTCAGGGCAGTTGACTCCGGGATTCATCCTGTCTCAGTGGGTCCAATCCATCTGGATTTTTTGAAAACCTGACGCTCAGTTCCATATTTTTCTCCCTTCCTATCAGGATCCATCTTTTGTGGCCCTGATCCAAGCACATGGGAGTGTTAGCTGGGCACCATCCGGTTCCTAGAATTTCAGGGCAGAGGAGGCAGGCCATGGTGCACCGAGACGATTAGTCCTTCGATTTGTTCCTTCTCTGAGTCTTCAGGGACTTCTTTCTCTTGAACTCCAGATAAGGAGCGCTCCATAGTTGTATCTTCAATGGCTGCCCTTGTAAGCGGTTACGACTCCCAGTGCTACTCACCAGCCATGAACTTTAGGAACTGTGAGATCCTGGTCCTAACCCTAACCCTAGGAAAGCTGTCTGTGAGTGTCTAAAAAGTATCTGTAACTGCCCCCATGTATTTTATTGCACATATATGAAATATACTTATATAAGAATAGTCGAGTCAGAAAGTATTGCTGCAAAACTGTAAACTCTTCATAAAACAGAAATACTAAAAGGTGAGACTCTTGTCTCTTGACACACCCTCCATCCAGGTCTGAAGTGTCCCCATTTCTCTAACCCTTCCCCAAAGAATTTTGCTCTTCAGTTCACATCAGTTCAAAATGACAACTTTGGCATTCTCAAGGGATTTAAATTGTGTTCCTTTGAAATATTCTTTGAGTTTGGGAATGTAAAGAAGCTTGAAGTAGCAAAATCAGGGCTGGAGAATGAATGGGGTTAGCTTTCCCAACAAAATGCTTTTAGAATAGCCCTTGCTACTCTCAAAGCTGAGCAGATGAGGGGGTGCAGAGGTGGGGTGAGGTGGTGGAATTCCTTAGTGGCCTTTTTCTCATCAGTGTAGTTTTCGATTTTTAAAACCTTCTTCCTAATATGTCCTTGTGGTCATCCTATATCTTTCCAGGGAAAAAAAATCTAACAAGATTACCCCTTTGAAATACAAATAAACCCAGTCACCATCCCTGTGATGGTTAAGCTGTGTATCAACTTGACTGGGGCCAGGGTTTTCACTCATTTGGCAGAAACCCCCACCCCCTTCATGATGTGATCTAACACAATGTAATCAACTGCTTGATGGGGTCTAACAATGTAATCAACTCTATGAGCACCCAGCAACTGTGGTGGGATGCAGCCCCTTGAGTAGGTCACAGGCTCCAGGCTTTTGGAAGAAAGCTTCACCCACCTCTCCTGGAGCTGGATTCTGCATCTGGTTCATCGACCTCTTGCCATCTTGCCTGCCAGTCTCAGGAGCCATCGGCGGCCTGCTAACCTTGGACTCGTTTGATTTTGTATCCACCAGCCCATGGGCTTCCTGGCTTGTCAGCCCCTGTACGCTGCATGAATTAGGAGAAGCCTCCTTCCAGCTTACCATCTGACCTGTGGACTTGAACTGAACTAGACTGGACTTACCACTTCTACAACTAGTGATCTCGCCAGCTGCTTTTCAAAAACAAACAAGAGAAAAAAAGACCACACAAAGGAACTCGTTTCACCACAGCCCTCTTTGGTGAAGTGTCTTATCACATTCTTTCCCCTTTTTGTCTTTTTGTTGCTGAGGCATAGGAAGTTTTATTTATATTTGGGAAATTAGATCCTTATGTTGTTTCCAAAGACTTCCTCACAATCTGTAGGTTATGCCTTTACACGAATGTGACCCATAGCGGATTGCAACCCCTGATAGAATTTTAGGAAGGACACTTGGTCCTCGGGTTCAAGAGTCACAGCTGAAAGCTAAAATGCAAATAATCTGTTTCCTAGAGCACAGACTTGGACCGGAGAGGCAAGCATCTTGACGAAGATCCATGCCTCCTGAAAGGTGCAGCTAGGGGTCAGGGGGTTGGAGGGAGGGCTGCCTCCTTCCTGGCACCCCATAAGCCTTCTCAAAAAGTTGTGGGGGACCGGGTGGGGGGTGAGATTGGAAGGCCCTACAGCTACCTTTCTGCTCCCCCAAGGAAGTCACCTCCAGATAAGAGGCACTCTGCCAGGGTCCTTAGGAGCCTGCAT